CTCTCTCTCTCTCTCTCTCTCTCTCTCTCTCTCTCTCTCTCTGTGTGTGTGTGTGTGTGTGTGTGTGTGTGTTGTGTGTTGTTTGGGTGTTTCATAGCTGTGGGGAACAACCTTCTTCGTGGGGAACAAGGTACCCCTGTCCGAGGGTTAACGCCCTGGTGCTCCGGTGTCGTCTTGACAGAAGGGTTGTATATGAATGACAATGACCATAGTGTAGACCTTGAGGACCAAGGGGAACAATGAGCATGTTTGGTTAAGAGAAGCACGATCAGTCAAACTACACTAGCAGGACCAGGGGCAGAAGCAGGCTGGTAATGACTACTGCTAAGGCTTTTTCTTATCTGTTTCTTTCTATTTGGCTACCACATTGTGTTACGCTTCACCAAGGAGTTCTAATGCAAGACGAAAAATGTGGTATTGTATGGCCCCATGCATCTTCAGTATGGGAACTATAACAGTGTGTAAAAGCGTGGTTTATTCTGAAGATCAAGATGTAAAAGAACACAGAAGAGAAGCGTCGTTCGTTGATCTGGCAAGCTGATTCGCTTGTCCTCGGACTTGCTACCGGCAAGTTGTCTCATGCTCAAACTCGGGTCACAGTGACAGAGGGCTTCCATTGACTTATCTGACCACCAGAGTTCTATCATTTTTTCAGGGAAGTCGCATCTGTACCCCACCTAAAGATGGGAATACCAGCTATACCAAGTCAGCTATACCAAGTCCAAGCGCGGACTTGCATCTATACCTGCAAAATGGCCAGTGCAGATTATTTGCATGCCCAGGACCGAGCTGGACCCAGGTTGGTAGCTCGAAATTGCGGCTATAGCCAACTTCCGGAATGCACAAATTATGGACATACCCAGGCAAAATTATGGGCATACCCGGGACTGAGGTGGTCTGGCGAAATTATTCATATCATATACCCTCCTATCGGATGGCTGAAATTATGCTGACACCCAGCAGCCATTGGGCCACAGTGGTCCAGTTGGTGGGCATGAGCATAATTTTGTGGTCCGCAATGGTTCACTTTGTGGGCATGAGCAAAGTCTCGTGGTCTGCCATCCGAGGCCCGCCACTGGGTTTGGGAACCCCCCAAATTTTGCCAGCCCGGTTTCAGGGCATGAGCATAATTTCTGGTGCTGCAACCGAGGCACTACCGGACTGAGTAAGCATACAATTTCGCACGGGGGAAAAGTTGGGTTCTATGCAAGGTTGAACGGAGTCGGGGTATAGATGCAAGTTTGTGCTGGGACCGGGTGTAACGGGTATTCCCATCTTTAAACCACCCCTCTATGCGCCTCCTGGGAAGTGCCACCCCTTTGAGTTTTGGAGGTTTTTTCGGGGGAAACAGAAATGAGAGATGAGAGGGAGGGATGAGGAAACAAGGAAACTACTGGCTCGTGGAGGAGAGGATAACTGACAGGGGTATAAAAAGGTGGGATGGAGGTGAAACTATAATACTTCCGATGAACAGTCACTTACTTTTCATAAATGTATGGTTCCAAAAAGTAATTTAGAATTAGCTCGATTACGTATTGTGTAAGTAGATAATTGAGTGCTTGTACCAACCAAAACTCTTTCATGTATGATTATAACATATGTTTATGTACTTAGCAATTGGGCAGCACCTTCCATAGGTGTCGAATGTGATGTCGTATCTGGTCGTTTAAATCATACTTGTAACCAGCAAGGGTGCAAAAGCAGGATGAAGCAACTTCCATAGGTGTGGAATGTGATGTTGTATCTGGTCGTTTAAATCATACTTATAACCAGCAAGGGTACAAAAGCAGGATGAAGGTGAAACTCTCATTCGCATACAAAGGGCAGAGAGATGGAGCTCGGAGAGTTGGCAAGCTGTAGTTGGAATCTAGTTGTACATGCAAAACATTGATGAGAAGGATATGATTGTGGTTGTGAGTATGGTGATGGAGGAAGATGTGTTGACTTGCCTATGCTCACAGGCATATGCAGTCACACATGGAAGTAATCCCATACTTTGCAGACTTTGTGAGGGCCTTGAAAGAGAGGTTCACAGATAGAAATGAAGGCGTCAAAGTGTCTGACCCCTTTCTAAGTATAGAGAAATGTTATAAAAGAATTATAGTTAATCTGAAGGATAGAGTAGATAGCTATAAGCAAGTTTCCAACCATAACGTCATAAACTTGCAAATCGTCCATGTTTTTCCCCTTGGAAGCCCTTCAAGAGAGACGTCTTGAGGCCCGAATGCCACCACACTGATTGCATGTCAACCATTTGGAGATGACCCGCCCCTCTAATGAAAAAAAAAAAAAAAAAAAAAAAAAAAAAAAAAAAAAAAAAAAAAAAAAAAAAAAAAAGAACACACACACACACACTGAAAGCATGTGTAGAGAGAAGCATGTGCAGAGAGTTGCTAGTAAATCAAGTACAAGATTCCAAAACTCATGTTTGGGTAGCCGCCCTCGTGGATTGCATGGGGGATGCTTTTAAAAGCCTTAGAGTCTAAAGTTGTGCTATGTATAGAGAAATACTACAGAAATAGCATAACTAATATTAACGTTAAAGTATATAGCTACAAGCAAGTCCCCAACCAGAGGGTCACATATTCATAGATAATCCATCATTTCACTCTTGCCCTGTCGGACGCAATAAAAAAAAAAACTCACACGGGAGAGCGAGGCTTATGTCAAGGATTTCACAAAATTTCAGTTTTACAAAGATTTTTCTCAAGGACAATAATTCATGGAGAAGACCTTCGCCTATCAAGCAGGGGTAAAAATTTAACTGCTTTTATCTTCGAGGGAGGAGGATCGGAGGTTGTGCACTACGAGTATGTAAAGATGAGCTATAATGGGCCTCGCTTCATTACTCTCGAAAAGTGCAAAACGAGAGTGAATCTCCCGCTAGAACATGGAAAGATACACCACCATGATTTTTGTCTTTCGTTTGTTTCAAGAGTAGTGGAGCGAGGCCCAATGATGACAATAATAGTAATATTAGGGAATAATTATTAGCATGGCGACCCTCTATTGGGTAACGAGTCAAAAAATGGAATTAGGGTTTGAGGGTTGAATTTTGTAGATTTTTTTTTCTTGTTTTAGTTCAAGACGGATGTGTGTTATTTTTTTGACAATTGGAACTTCATTTAGTAACATTTTCTATATTGAAGAAAAGTTATGATATTCGGATGTTGGCGTAATTTGTATGAAAGTGTACTTTGGTAATGCAAATTTTTTTTTTTTTTTTTTTGCATGACGTTCACTCTATACATCGGTTACAAATTTTGTTAAAAGGCCCTGGGGTTTTCTTGTAAATGGCATGACAAATTGTTTGAAAACTTAGCCTTTGTTAACCATTTTTAAAGCAACCACAAAAAGGGACTGACTGCTAGGAGATTCACTCTCATTTTGCACTTGTGCACTCCTTGCAGAGCTTGGTGAATAAAGCAAACGTTGAACTGATCCACCACTCATATAGATGTGTGAAGATCATTAGTTCCAGTGTCTTCATGAGTGGTTTCCTTACAGGCAAAAAAAAACAATTGATCACCCTTCACAAGTCTTGGAGTCAGATGAAGAAAAAAAAAGGCAGTTAGTTAGTGAATGTGTTGAGATAGTCAAAAATGTAATAGAGGTACGAGCAAATTCGGGCTCCAAAAGGAATATATCGCGTAAAGTGAGTAAAAAGTTGTACTTAGGCATAAAGGTTTTGAATCTTAAATATTTATGATTGGCAAGTTGACTAACAAGGTCATGGTAATAGAGTATGTTAAGATCGTGAAGGGATATTTTTGGTCGAACAACTGGGATAAGGTTTCTACGTAGAATATAACTGACATTATCCTCCGGATGGACTAAGGTGATAAAATAAATGCAAACTCTGATATGAAGAGGAAAAACTTCAAAATCCGAAGTAAGAACATAATTGAAAGATCGGTCCACCTTTATCGTCAATCCATATTCAACATTGCATGAATACACTTGTATTATCTACGTAGTAGCGAATATAGCATTTTGTTAAACAATGATTCATCGCTCGAATGAAACCCTTATCCAAAAAAATGAATTAATATAAAGCAAAAAAACAAACACAATGAAAGAAGTTAAGGTCTTTGATCATAGGTTTATCGCAATAATATATTGAGCTAGAGGAGACTCATATAAGCATAATCGTAAGTGAGATTAAGCACGTGATGAAAATTATGCTCTACAACAAGACACCAAAGGATTTATCTACAATATGTCGTCTCTCGAGTTCATTGAGTTGTGGAAACAATTAGACGAGTTAGTTGAGAAGGGGTTGATTAAGCCAACTGACTTTCTATATAATGTGTCATTTATGATCGTGATGAAGAAGCAGGTCGGATTTAGAATATGCATAGGGCCCTGAATGCTATAAGTAAAAAAATAGTCATGATAATTCGAGCCTATGATTGAGATCATGCTCGGTAGCAAGACACCTAAGAGTCTCATTTACAAGATTTATCTTGTTGAGCTTGATGAGTTGTGTGAACACTTTGATAAGTTAGTTGAGAAAGGGTGGATTAAGCTAAGTTTATCCCTCCATGATGCGTTATTTATGACGGAGATAAAGAAGGAGAGTGAACTTAGGTTATTCATAGGGTTTAAAATGTTACAAATATGAAGAACCATTACCTATCGTAAATGATTTGTTGAATAGGCTATTAGACGGATGTAAATATTTTTTTTTTACCAAGTTGAAATCCTGATATCACTAAATATGGTAAATTAGAGAAAATCACCATAAAACTGCATTATTTACTAGACACTG